AGCTTGGCGCTGCATTGTCTGCACTGTTCGACTGCAGCTCAGCTAGAATAAGAAGTAGCAGCAGCAAAAAGCATTTTCAACACATTTTCCGCCTCACTTTCCTTCAAGCAAATGTTATTTATTGCCAAGCTGAAGTTGGTTGCACTCCGCACGAGGCTGAAGTGCCCGCCACTTAGGCTGTACATAATCCATAGGGTCAATAGCAGTCAGACAGACATAAAGCAGGCAGCCTTTCTTCGAGTACGAGTACGAGATGTCTTGTTTGTTTGTGCTGGGCAAATGACACCACAAAGGAGTCCTTTAGGACTCCACTGCAGTGGCCACAAAGCATACGATACGGCACGTTGCCAGCCCACACACAAACCCTCATGCCGAGCCCAAACCTAAACCCAATTCCAATTCCCTAGCGAACAAATTTGAACTGTTGCCAAAAGCAGAAAATGTGCACGTTCACTAAAAAAGAAGACGAACAATTTCGCCAGTTTTTGTATACTATTCACCTTGGGACCAAGGATTTGGGCAATGAGGCAAGAGTCGGGCGGCCAACAAAATATATCAGATATGTCGGCTTCCTGTATTTCCTAGTGCTTCGACAAGCTTAAAGCGCTTGCTTTAAAATATGCAAAAGCAAGGTTGAATTGAAAATATATCTATAAAATATATAAAGTAGCAACCAAACTCTTTCTTAATTTATAATATATTCATATTTTAATTATAGAAATGCATTTGTCTTATTATTTTATGTCTGCCTGACTTGTCGCTCAGTATTTGATTGTTGACTTTTTTAAAATGCTTAAAAGTTAAAGAAAAATGAATATATATACATAGCTAAATGGAAATATATTTATTTATTTATATATTTACTTATATTATTTTTTGACGTTAAGACTGAATCATATATATTTTAAATGATTTCGTTTCAATATGTGTCATTGACTCCCTTTAAATATATATATTTTTTTCCTGTCCCAGTTTTTGAGTTCTTTCCATTGCCTAGAATTGTTCCATAAATGTTGTGCATTGTCCGCGGCATTCGGATTCCGTTTTCGCATGTTATTTTTGCGCATTAATGAAAGCGATTCATGAAAATTTCCCTGCTAAGCAAACAGAAAACTAAAATATTTGCAATTTCTGTACTCTGAATTGGTTGAAGGAATTCGGGGTATAATGATTTTTCAGAAATGGATGTAATCGTTATTCGGATGCATGCTGACCATATATGATATCAGTTCGTCATTCTTGAATGCCATGAAAATTCATTTGCTTTATAGTTTTCAATGTATGTAATTGAAAGATATATTCACATTATCTGAAATTATATAGCACTTATTTCTCTTTTTATTAAAGCATTTAATATTCGACGACTTTTCATTTGCTTATTTTAGTTTTTCGCTGTTGACCTCATTTTTGGGCGAAGCGATACAAAATATGCCACATTCAGTTAGCAATTCGATATTTTGTTTTGAACAAATTATGAACTGCACGCCTCACGCCCACACCCACATCCACACCCACACGTACACTCACATATAAACTCACACTCACGCAGAGAGAAGAAACAGCACTAGAGATGAGAACATTAAAATAAAGAATGAAAGAATATGAACTTCCTACCCACAACTTGAAACTCTCGACCAATGGGGGGCGTCTTGATTGGAAGTCTGTCGTATGTATATAAATAGAGATGCAATCAAATTATATTATGCCCATATATCTGTCGATCACAACCACTCTCTCTCTCTCTCTCTCTCTCTCTCTCTTTCTCTCTCTCTCTTCCGCGCTCGCTCTCTTCCTCTCTCGATCGCAACTAGTCCGAAATCTAAATCTCTGCAATCGACATTGTTGATTCGAGAACCAGACGTGACAAGATTTTACTGGCTCTCGAACTGCATTCGTTTGGTTGTGTTTTGCTTTGTGTTTTCCATTTGTGTTTTTCTTTCTGACTTTGTAATGTGTTTTCTTAGTTTTACTGTATACAGATCTTACATCGATAGTATAGTAAGATAGGTGCTTCAATTGGCAATTCTTTCACACCCGATCCAAAATTAGTTTTTGTTTTTGTTTACAATTTTGTCGTGTTGTTGGGGCTTTCTCAGTTTTTCCCAGATTAAAAAAAATCTGTTCTGTCGCCCAGAGTGGAAATGAAAAGAAAAATAGAAAGAGTGCTATTTGAATTTCCCTCATCAAATTGCGCACTTCCGGATGTTGTTTTTCGCAAATCATCATCACCGTTCGCATCATTATAATGATTTGCTATACTATAATATATGTATACCCTGCAATAATATTGTTTCGCGGCAGATAAAAATCTCATGCTGATTTAAGAGCTAAAATTATCGCTTAGGCTAAAATTTAATGATCTTAAATTTGTTTATAATAATATTAAAGATGGCTGATAAGGACTGTGAAATACCCTGTAGCTTAGCTG